TATATATATATTGTGTTTAAATATTTAAAGTTGATGACTTACGTCTGCAATATATAACAAACTCAAATACATTCGAGCATTCTCATGCTCGATCAAAACTCAAATACATTGTTGTTAGAGAGGCCGCATCATATATTTTAAGGCTTTTTAATTTTAACATCGCCTCATTTTTGTGATGAAAGGAATGTGGAGTTGGCCGATTTCCTATGTCATTAGTTTGTGTGATGTTTCAAAATGACGTGTCATTACAATTCTGATTCTCATACTCGATCAGTATTACCATTTATAATGCGCATCAGGGGCGGATCCACTGAGAAAAAGCTGGGTAGTGGCATTACGCTATACGAAGCACGAAGTCCGTGTGGGTGGGGTTTTGTAGTCGATTGTAAAATACAATTAATACAAGTACACAAATTAAAACTTTTATAGAGGTATATCATGCAGCATTTCCAATACCATTTTCTCTTTCTCCATTCGTTTCTTTTTGTCTCCTTATTTGTGTGTTTTTTGTGGTGGGTGAGGGGGAGGGGGAGGGGGTTGGTGAGCGCTCTAGACTCATGACCACCCATTCTCGGATCCGCCTCTGTGAGTTGCAATTAATAACCGTTTGTACTCTTACAAAGGGAAAGTAAATAATTAGATCGAATACTATGATATAAACATTATTACCCTCAAATTATTTTTGATGCCTCTTTATTTTATTATAATATAATATGAAAATATTATCTTTTAAATTGAATACCTAATTTTATTGTTTTAATTAATTTTATCATCAGCATCGTCATCATCACCATCATCATTGTAGTCATCATCATCCTCGTATTATTATTATTATTATTATTATTATTATTATTATTATTATTATTATTATTATCATTTTATTAATATTATTTTTATTAATATTATTAGATTCAAGATTTCTTAATTGTTTTCTTAATTTCATGGCTAGAACAACACATTCATTAAAAAAAACATTTGTGTACTGTTTCTAGCGCTACATTTTATTAAATATTTTTTTCAGATAACAAGAGTGAGCTTTTCAATCCGAATTGCAAAAACCACATTCTATTGGACAACATCAAGCAGAGGTGTTGTTGTGAAGATGAAGGTAAGGTACGTGTAGCGATAATTGTGTATCTAGATGCAAAAGCGTTTTCTAGGCTTAGGTAAGGACCTACATAAAGTATTACTTGTTGCGAATAACTTCCGAATTTGGACGACGGAACAGTGACGTATCTAGGGTCCAGGGGGACGCCCAAAAAAATACTCACTCTCCCCAGTTCCCCCACCCCACTGAAAATGTTCGAAGCAAAGAAAATTACGCTCAAGTAGTTAAAAATCACCTCAATTCACCTTATTTTGCGAGCTGCTCCCCTCACCTAATCATCAATCCCCCTTCTTCAACTGTCCCATCAGCCCCCCCCCCCCTCCATTCCAGCCTATACGCCACTGCGACGAAAATACGGCGTATGTCATGTATGAACATGGAGGTATAAAATACCCCCATGATGTAAACGTCGTAATTTAATCATTTTAACTTAATCTGATGTTTTTATATTCTCAGATAAAATCGATTTATCGGACGAAACAGGAACTGTGATCCACTTATCGCAACACCCATACGATTATGGAAAGTCGTACCTGGCAGAGAGGGGGTCATTTATTCTTGTCAAATTAGAGAGTAAGTAGGTCTACTATAAGCTACTATAATAAGTAGTAGACTATTATAAAGAGGTTATAAGGCGCTTATAGAGAAGGCCTATCGAATGCTTCTCTCTATTCGTAAAACTGATAGACGGTAGATGTTCTTTGATTTGTATTTCAGAAGAAACAATCGAAAACGGAGAAGTAAAAGAAGAGCGAACTTTCTATGTGCCAGATTTGCAAGATAAGAAAAATGATGCTGCATACCTAGGTATTCAGTCAATACATTTTTGGAAATAGAAATCTAATATTGTTATTTATCATTAGTGGCAGGCTATTAATAATCACGTTTATGCTAATTATGAGTATAAATTAAAGACAAATAAATACAAAGAATTAAATTATTTATAAATGACAGGCTATTAATAATCACATTTGTGTTAATTATGAGTATACATTAAAAAAATATATATACAAAGAATTAATATATTTGTAAATAAATATAAAATTATATGAGTGTAAATAAAATAATGTAGCCCATGTTGTTGTCCATTAACGTGGCTAACATAAAAGGGATAACAATAATGACGTCAAATTAATTTCACGTTTCATTTTATGTCACATTACTTTATTTCAGCTCGACTGAATCCACGTCCGAAGTCGAAGTTAATAAAACCAAAACGAAACGTAGAAAAGAGCGAGTCGCCAAGGACACGGGCATCGTTTGGACGACGTAGAAACAGCCTGTTTAGAAATTTAGCGCACGCTGCCACGGGGCGACGGTAGCGTCTTCTTTGAACAACATGAAAAGCCGGTACCAAATTACGGTTACAACAACAACCTATTCAATTTACAATTTTAAAAAAAAGTTCAGGAAATTAAGCAAGATAGAATTCTAAGATTATAGATAACAATGGGTTTTACCTGATCTGTTCAGCTCTTATTCTTAACATTTTATACTAAAAAATAAGCTTACAAAAACCTACATAAATAGTTATAAACGCATCATAGATGGTATGGTTCTATTGGAGAAATTCACTGAAGTGCATTTCATAACGAAGATACATAGGCCTATGTCTATATATCTATGCTTAGTGCATGGGCGTCGATCGTTGGGGGCAGGGTGACACGTCCCCTCTCTTTTCAAAGTAGGGGAACATCATATCAGTTGTCCCCCCCCCCTACTTTTCACCAATCTTCTATAATTTAAACCCCACTTTTCAAAGCGAATGGAAAGAATAACAATTATGCATGACTGTCATGAATTTTGTCTGTTCCAAAACCGAGTAAAAACGCATTTGTTTGTACATTTCGTAACCATCTCAGTGACCACTACGTCGATTTATGGGTGCAACGGTTATCAGAGGCTAAATGTATTGTGAAAACGATGTAGGCTTCTGTACGTTGTTAAGATTGGAAGCGTGTAAATTTATTAGGCCAATACCTTTACAAACGTAACAATTTATTACATACAGATTACTGTTTTTCATAATTTCAAAAAAATTATAGTTAGTCAATTGAATTTTATAGCCGTTATTAAACAATAATTATATAGCCTTTGACACGGACAGGTCTATCTATTTCTATTTATTTAAGAAGTGATACCACAAGTTTACAAACTCCAGTGTTGCGTTGACGCATTCTCGCAATGACGTCATAATAATCAGTGGCGGATTCAGGTGGGGCCGAGCCATGGTGGGGCTGAAGTGGTCTACACTCTCTATCTGTAAAAGTCCCTCCCTAGGCCCAGCTCTATTTCAAAATCCTGGATCCGCCACTGTATTTTGAAAATGTAGTGTGGAAATAAATGTTAATTGCATTGCTTAAAATCAATTAGATACGACTTATAAAAGGCTATAAAGAGTCAGAGCTTCCGGGGGCTTCACCCCCTGGACCCTCACCGGGCCCCTAGCAGTGGCGGTGCCAGCGGGTGAAGAGGGGCTTAAGCCTCTCCATCGGACAAGTCAATAAACACAATACTTTGTTTATGTTACTGTTTGCACGAGTATGTTAATGACACCTTGATATTTTCCACAACGGCAATGTGGGCCAGGATGACAAGATTGAGTGCAATGGGAATAAAGTGATGGATGGCTAGTTAGTAAACTAATCCCAATGGTACCATTAGGCATGTCACTGTCAGTAAAACAAAATGTCGGAAAACTTTTCTGAAGATGTCTACACACATACATACACACACACGCAAAAAGTGAATACAATAGTTCCATACATAGGAACTAAAAATAGGCCTACACCAAGCAAAAACGTGACTTTTACAGTCGTAGAGTGCCATTTCCGACCATCCAGAGGTCCCTTATTTTTTTTAAAAATCTCATTTGAGAGGTGATACCTCTCCCAAACCTCCCTCAGCAGGCATACAAGTCCAAGCCCCCTGTCGGACAGCTTAGCCCCAGAAAATGTATCTGAGCCTTAACTGGGCCCTATGCAGCCCCCTGGACCCCCCAAGGTAGGTGCCTACGGCCCATGGAGGATCGTATTTTGCATTTCGTCCCCCCACTTTCAATCACGGATCAAAGCCGTGAGCTAACCCTTTGCGTTTTCGCCAGTTGGACAATTTTTTACCATGTCGCTTTTTTTGCTGATTTTTACATTATTGTACCTAAGTAATGAATATATCGATTATATATATATATATATATATATAAATTCATATTCAATCGGTGTTGTTGATGTGGATCCACGTATGTCTCATCGTAGGA